TCAGAGGAGTTGGTGTTAAATCGCCTCGAGAGGCCTGCAAAAGGTGAACGAGATCCTCATTGCCCCCAATTTAGAACAAAAATAACCCGTAGCTTATACAATAAAACAGCGAAAAAGTCCCTGAGGATCCGATTAAACACTTGTTGTGACGAACTCAACTCTGGGTTGCTGTACAAGGAAGCACACATATGCATTACGACCAACTACCTCTTTGTCACCGTCCGCAGCTGCAACAGCTTCACAGCCATCGTCGGTGAGGTGGGTCAGGGACCCTTTCTCGAAACAATGCTGTGCGATATTCGCCTGAAGTTTTGGACTGTCCCAAGTGGTAGATTACAGCAGCCAACTGACATCGTTCTGAAGCAGTGGCAAGCGAGCCATCTACAAAGTGTGGGAGGTATACATTGGGGCTTAGATCAACATAGTGATGAATCTTCTGCCCATCATGGCCAAATCGATTCAGCTGAAGCGGGATTATGCCTGGAGAGCTCACCGCACAGCATGCTGCTCTGCCTGGTTGCGCCATTCTATGATTAAGGCTTGAAGGGTCCAAGGTCTACGTCTGGTTCTGTGCAACGCTGGGTCGAGGGCCGTATGCAGAATGAGTGGCCGCATTTGTCCATGATCCACAACCTGAGCACTATCATTGTCGTCTATGACCCTCGATTCCCAACAGCCTACGGAGTGTTCCGGGCAAAGCGCCTGTTGCATGATTGACAGGATTTCAGCTGCATCGTGCTGGCGTTCAGGCTCCTGCCAGTGCACTTGGGTTTTAAGCCAAGCTGGAGTATCCCACAGGTGAACAAGCTGAGGCTTCCTGGTAATCCAGAGCATAAATAAACCGCAGCATCGGAAAGGAAACAGGAGCCGAAGCCTGGGCTGATGGTGTGTGGCACCATAGATATCCCATCACAACCGAGTTGGCATAACAGAAGTTAGACCTATTTCCTAATTGCAATCGTAGGACCTGTGCATCAGAGAGCCTTAAATGTCCTTCAGCATTCTCTCGATGGCCTTCGCCAAAGAGCTGCGCCCTAGCTTTCCCGGTCGCATCGATGATGCAATCAGATGCTGCAACGAGAGAGCTTCTGTCTTAGGTGTACATTTGCAAGCTCTCCTCTGTTCGGCATGGTATGATCAGGGAGAAGGGCACAATGTCCGTGGATTGCTTCTCCGCCATCTTGTGGAGAGCATGGAATCTCCCCACCGTTTGCTAATGTGCATTAGTCTCAGGATGGCATTGGGGTGGTCGACCACTTCCCTGTGAGCAATGGGGTCCTGGGCCGCCTGGGTGTGCTTCTGGAGGTTCGAATCCCGTTGGAGGAAGGGATACGATGTTCCCACAACCAGCCCGGCCTCCGTTGCAAAGTGCTATGCACCAGGTTCCACCACTGCTGCACTGAGGCGGGCTGGAGAGAAACTAAGTGTTGGCGACAGCTTTCAATTCTCCGATGGCTCACTTCCACAAGTGCATCGACCAAACGCAGGATTGCCACAAGAGAACACGCTTTCTCACAGGGATGGCTGTATGCTTCAGCAGCATGTGAAGCCTACTAAACGCTGCCCAGGATTGTTTTAGCCTATGTGTCACCGACGCACGCTCAAAGCTGCCATAGCCTACCTTTACTCCCAAATAACCGTGTGCATTCTTGATTGGAATTGGCCTTGCAGGCGTGCCGAATCGAAGATACCGAATCCCTTTGATGCGTCTCACGTAAGCCTTTTGGAGAGCCGCTGCCTCTGTACCACGAATGGCCATGAGGATGACAGTTTTGTCTCGGGAGACCTGCATATTTGCTTGCTCAAGGTCAGCTAGGATGCACTCTATTTGATTGACAGCCGAATGAAAATCTGAACGGTTGCTGAGTTCCCACTTCATCAAGTAATCATCCGCAAAACCTGAGACTTTGTCCCTAGGAATGTACCCATGGAACCGATCATGGAGCGTTATGGTGAACGTCAACCACAATAACGGCGATAGCCCACAGCCTTGCCTTATTCCTTGGCCCATGGCCACCGAGCTGACAAGGTCACTCTTCTCCAAGACAATTTGAGCACTATCATGGATGTGGAGTATCAAGGCAATGAGGTCACTCGGCGCGTTGACCCGAGCCAGTGATTGCGCAAGGCCTTCCCGGGACATGTGGTCGTAGGCTCGCGATAAGTCCAGGGACAACATTATCCCGCCGGTGCTGCGACCTTCAAAGGTGGTAAATACAGTTCTATTATGTTTGCGAATGTTCTCCCGGACTCGAAAACAATGCGATAGAACTCGGTCGATGCAGTCTGTGGTTTGACGGTGGGCACTATAAGCGAACTGAGGGATGCTAATCAAGGCCTCTATTACGAACGGTTTGAGTCTCTCAGCAGCTACTCGCGCCAACACCGTGGCCTCTAGGGGAAACAAGGATATTGGTCTCAAGTTTTCAGGCTTGTTTGGAGGTTTCCCTGGTTTAGGAAGTAGCGCTAGAAAGGCACGGCATCAGTACAGCGGGAAGCTTATGGGACCACGCTGAAGGGCCTGGTTAAATGAAGCACACAAAGCTGGCATGCGGCCTTTGGGCAAGGCCTTCCTGTGAGACATGTGGTGGAGGGCATCGGCTACTTCCTGTTCCGTAATGCAGAGAGGGTTTTGAAGCACGTGCACTCTCGGTTGCAAACTGTCGGATTGATACACATGTTTGAAGAACGCCGTAAGCTGATCTACCTCCTCTTGTCGTGTAAGTAACACACCTGCTGGCGAGCGGAAGTGAATGCTACGTTTTGAAGTTTAGGCTTTAGGCTTTTAGAAAGCATTTGCAGCTGGCTTATACCCCGCTTGTCTGCCTCGTCGGCACGTTCAATGAGATTTGTCACCTGCTGGTTTTTCTTGGCCTTCACTTGTTTTCGAAAGTGTTTGTCACACTGCTCGAATTTCACTGCGCTGCGCCAGCAGTGTAAAATCACCTTGAGATTGCGGACTGCCCCGGGGGCACTCGCACAGACCGTGGCAGCAGGAGCGTCGGCTACCAGCCACAGAAGAGGGGCAGTGTAACCGCTTGGAATCCCAAAAATCCTTAAGCGTGGGTCCTAGTCCTAAGGAGGTCATTGGGTTTAATCTGCTGGTTCCTTGCCGGCGTGTGTGCGTTGGTCCTGCTCCAGGCTTCCTGAATTACAGGATCTAACTGAGTCGGCAGCTCAGGTGCCCTATCTAGCAGCTCATGAAGATGACCACGGAAAGACTCGGCAAGCGACGGAGAGGCTGCAAGCTGACTACTGATCAACTTGGACGAGGTCGGCGGTTTAGGTCGGACTCTGGCCAGGGTGGGTCGTGGCAGAAAACAGGTGATTGGAACATGCCGCATACCAGTTGGTGGGACCATTGGTGCATCCCGCAGAGTCTTGGCCCGTAGGGTATGTGGCTGCCCTGGCAGCCTGGTTAAAATGAAGTCTATCTGAACCGGAGCCCAGCAAGCAAACCTGCAGTGGTTATTAAGGACTGAAAGGAGCTCTGGTCCGGATGCTCAGAACCTTTGTGCAGCGCTACCCCCTGACCCACGTGGGGTTCGCTAGGATGCAACGATGCATTAAAGTCCCCTAAGACAGCAACCGTGTTACGCCTAGGTGTGGCAGACAGCCAGTTGCCGATCTTGGACCAGACTTCAGCTCTGCGTTTCACAGCTCCTGTGTTTTCTGCGAGGATGAACCCTTTAGGTCTTTATGGGTGGGGTTCCAGGCATGTTGGTATACCCCTAGGCAGTCCAAGGCGGGCGTGCTCTCGACACGAATGTGCAACAGGCGTCCAGGGAGAACATCCGCGTGCTTGAGGGTGCGCAGTGCCACCTGGAATTGGAGAACTCTGACCATTGACACCAATGTGTCCCTTGTATGCACATGATGTGGGCTGGGTTGTCCACCTGATTCTCCAACCATGTCAAAGTCTCTACATAGCGATGGGACGAAAGGCCGCCAGAGTTCCACGTCACAAAGCGCAGGCAGTCTGCTGGGATGGCAGGTTGGACAGAGCGAGGAAGCATTGCCTTGCCTCTGTACTGCAGGGCTAAACTAGAGCAGCTATGCATTCTGCCTTTGTACCACGTAGACCCGTCGTTAAGGGCTCAGATCTTGAACTGAACGCACGCTTCCTAGCCTGCGACAACCTTACTGCAGTTTGCCCAAAGGCCGAAATTGCTGGCGTGGCTGATCTGTCGTGGTGCACAAGCACGTTTGCCGAGTTGCCTGTAGCTGCGCTGGGTTGTGCTAGGGAGTTAAGGGTGACCCAAAAGAGCGGAAGGTACAAACCTAGTTTACCCTTAGGTCGACACGTTAACCGAGGCTTAGGGCTAAGTGCAGGGTTGGGAGTGTGCTGAGGGCTTTGCTCGGCAAACGCTTCGGAGACTCGACGCAGAGCCTTGCAGCGACCGCTCACAGTGTAGCTCAGTCCGTCGCCGGCGAAAGACTCCTGGAAGCATTCTGGTAGGGCACCATGAGGTTTGACATGCAGCGGGAAAAAGACGCACCTTTGTCACACGCCTCCAAAAACTGATGGCTAACGTTGATCTACTGATGAATATGCCATGGACAGCTGGACTGTCCTCTGCAGCTACTGTATTGGAGGCACTGGTGGCAACAGCAGATTGACGCCTGGTAGTGAGTCGTAGGGATCCGATTGGGTTAGATACTATGTAGGGGCTTTGGGTGAAATCTTTAACACACTCAGATACTTCCCGGGAGAGCGCTTAGCTTGGCTAGAGGCATCCTGTAGGGAGGGGCCATAAAGCTTCGTCTGCTTCGTTTCCAAGTGAAATCCAAATGTAAGGAATCCAGGGGGGAGTTGGCCGACTCTTCCCCCAACCCTCGTGTCTCCAGTGTGAGCCGAGAAACTCGAACAGGTAGGTCCACTGAAGCACAGTGGATGCACACTTGCTCCAGCCCTGGAATTGGGACCAGCGCGGCCCATCCGCTTTGCATTGCCCCTTGAGAAGGCAGTGCCCCTCACACATGGCCAGGGCAGGCTCCTTTCAGGCTGGCCTTCCGAAGTTGTTCCAGGGACCATCTCGAGAGCCTGAGGGTGGCTCTTGTTGATCGGTGTTCTCCACGTCATTATCGCTGGGTGGGATGATCTCCTGGTCCCACTCCGCAACGCCACAATGGTCCGAAGCAGCCATTGGCTCATCTGCAGTTGAGTCCGGCACCCGAGCTCCTGTAGGCATGTTCTGGTACCACATAGTGCACTCATATCGCTCATCTGAGGAGAGCAGGGCCCACAAATCCCAGAGAAAGTCCAGATACATATGGAAGCCTGCAAAGGTCGTCGTATCATGTACAAAAGAGGCAGTGTCGGACACTTGCAGTCTGGTCGCCAGGCTCCGCGTGAGCTGGAGTTCCATACGCTGCGCCATTCTGGCCTTTGTGGGGTCTCCCCACTTTCCTGCGCGGCGGATCCATGCCTCATCGTTTGGCGGGATCGGCTCCAGAAAACAGGCTTCCAACATGTCTGTGTCCTGTCGCAACTTCCGCGCCAGGCGGCCGGATAGTTGTATACACGTGTAGCTGATAATGTTTTCTGCAGTTTCACCATCCGCTCTACGCTTAAAGGCGGACATTCGTCCGATCCTTTGGCGTGACGAACATTCAGCCCCAAGCAGCTGTTCCTCGTAGTAGAGCTCGCACAGGCGAGCCAGCATGCACCTTCGGAACCAGTTCCTTGTGACAGCTCGTTGTCGTTTGGCCGCTTCGTCCTCCGCAGCTTGCCTGTGCACCCTTTCCTCTGTATCACTGGACGCAGCGTCTGACGAGGAGGGGGAGGACATGTCGCTACGGTCAGAAGTAGAAAGAGGAGCCAGCGAGCGTGGCATGCGAGATCGACCATGTGAGAAGCAAAGGGAAAAATGGGACCGACGGTTCGGGCCGAGACACTTACACATACATACATACATACATACTTACAAACATACTTACATATCGGAACATACATATACCTATACATCTACAAAAACATACGCATACATGCATATATCTACATATATATATATATATATATTTATAGATATGGTACCCACCCACCCACCCACCCCCCCCCGGTACCCAGGTTGTGTCCTGTTCAAGTAAGACGCCTTGTCCCCCACGTTTGCGTGCTTTCCATGTTCGGTGCGTCTCTGGGAAAGCAAGTCTTCGTTTACTATGGCTCACGAGTCTTCTAAGTGTAGTGTAGACTGTATTGTTGGTAATACCAACAGGAATCATGGAAAGTGTTGGGTTTACCAACATGTCCAACAATTTCCATGATTCCCGATTCTGTGGCTCCTGCTCCCGAGGTTTTCCACATTCATGGAGAGTGTTGGAAATGTTGGTGACACCAACATTTTCCATGATTTGTGTGTGGGGAATCGTGGCAATTGTGGGTTTACCAACATTTCCAACAATTTCCATGATTCCCGAAACCACGGCTCGGGCCCCTGAGGCTTTTCCAAATTCACGGAAATAAACCAACATTTTCCATGAGTTGTCTGTGGGGAATCATGGAAGTTGTTGGTTTTACCAACAATTTCCATGATTCCCGAAACTACGGCTCGGGCCCCTGAGGCTTTTCCAAATTCACGGAAATAAACCAACATTTTCCATGAGTTGTCTGTAAGGAATCATGGAAGTTGTTGGTTTTACCAACAATTTCCATGATTCCCGAAACTATAGCTCCGGCTCCCGAAGTTTCTCCAGATTCATGTGAATGCTTAAACATGCTGGTTTCGCCAACACTAAATTTGCGATTGAGCAGATCTTACATACTCGTGCGAAGTGTTTTGCAAACAAGCCGGTAAGGTATTATTTGCATCCTTGATTATTAAATTCACTAGTTGGTCCAACACGGAACTAACTATGTAATTATCTCCGCTCGAAGACGCTACTGTGGGAACACCAGTTCATGGTTTCCTGTGTATCACGTACAAAGTGCAAAGCATTCTTCGTGTCTAAAATTCAACACTTTATTTTAGGAAAGCTATTGCTGTACGAACATGCTTGCTGGCTTAATCACACACTTCTTAAGATAAATGTATAAAGCATTTGCTTTTTTGCTTGGAGTTTGCATGGGGGTCTTTGGTCGTTGTGTTTGTGTATTCTTTAGTGTGGCTCTGACGCTGAAGAGCCGTTAATCAAGAGACTATCATTTGCACCAGAATTCTGACATACATCGTTGTCAACTTGTCATCATTTGTGGTAGGTGCAGATGTTTCAAAACGATTCTGCGACCAATGAAATGGATATTGCCTGTATTATGCACACGCTTTTGATGAATTGAGCTCGGACTGAACATGTCGAATTCACCTGGCGCGAAAGAACTAGCAAACTCGACTAGTAAACAACAACATGCAGCCTAGAGTGTAATACGCAGCCACGGCGTGTTGGATTATGTTTGACTTGGAACACTACCAACCCACTCTCGGCATGTAATTAGAAAACAAGCAAGTGTGTCATGTGATTACCCATCATCCTATCAAGAAGTTTTACAGGCACAGGTGTACGTATTCACGTGGTTTATACTTTACAATGTGTATAAGACACAGGACTCAGCAATTACTACATTTAGTTTATAATGCTTGGTTATTGTTGAACAAGGTTCCTGAACAGTATACGAAGTACTGTGACTGAATAATCACAGCAGTATAGTCGACACAGTTGAGTCAAAAATTCTGAAAACCGGGATTTGCATGGTGTTAAATGGCTTGGTATTGATGAAGTAAGATAACCACAGATGTGTTAACAACACTGTGAGAGGTAATACTAAAGCCACACTTGGTATTTTGAATTCGACATAGACGAACAGCTATGCTGAGAAAAGAAATGCAGATCGGATTCCTCAGGCAATGAAGACTATACTTCCGGTAATAATGACGAAACGTACACATACCATGGTGAGACACGAATTAATACTGTTGTCGCCAATGGCTGCTAATTTGACAGATACGCTTGAATCATTGTGCACCACAGTGAAGACGAAATGTATGAAAGCATTTGAGGCTTGTTCCCTTATGGCTGTATGAACCAATGAACACAGTAATTCATGCAAGAGACCGCAAAACCCACCACAGCAATGACATTGTTGCGTGCGCAAAAACCATAGCGACAGCCAATCCAACATAGCCACTATCCACCTTGCTACGAATTTTGCGTGCGTGGCCAATGGCAATGCTACAGTATGACCCCCATGCGGTGCAAATCTCTTTGTCTTAGTGGGTTTCAGTAGGCCTGCTTCGCCACACCCCGCAGTTTTGTTACATTCGCCCACTACTAGTACTATGTGTCGGCTTATCGCGACCATGCGCATGCACTTGCAACCTTTTGTGTCCGATTTCCTTCGTGCTTGCTCATGATGATCAAGCAAGCACATAGGTTGCTTTCGGCGCAGACGTTTGACACAACATCAGTAATTCAAGGTTGACTCATGTTTGTGAAATACCCCACCACTCGGCCCACTTGAGCAAGCTCATCAGCATAAAGACGAAAACCTGGGGACCTGAGGGAGGGGTAGCATATACACACAGACATATATACATACATAAATACATGCACGTGTGTGTGTATTTGCCATGGATGTTAGAAAGTCTATGTCGAGGGTATGTTTGTCTATGTACTCGCGTGCAGTCATACTTTTGCATGCGTGCACACATTCATATCGCGATCCCTGTGTGCATGTCGTTTGTTCTAAACGCTCGGAACAAGGGAAGAGTGATGCTTCCCATTAATACCCATGAACCTCCAAGCAGATGGAGAACTCGTGGTGGACATACAGAACATGATTTATGGCTGTTGCATAAGACGACAGGCTCAGGGCTTATCAATTCGGGTTGCGCGTTCCAGATAGGCCTTGCTTGGGTTTAGGCTTGACGCTTTGCGGTTTTGTTTAAGATTCAGAGTAATGTTGGCCGAAGATACCATCAACGTGCCTGACAAAAGGCACCATGCTTGGATGGTTCAAAACGCTGGAGCAGTGCAACATGCCGCTCGCCATCGATTCAGAGCCGAGTATCGACCAGTTGACGCTGCCTGAGCAGTCCTATACAGAGCCATGACACAAGGTTTTGTGAAGAACTTCGCCTGACTGCCAAGCCTGCCCTCCTGGGCTCGACAGGACCCTCAACCAATGTCAAAGTCGGTCAAAGCTTGCGAACCGAAAAACCTTGAGCTGCAAAATCATCGTGGTAAGGCACGTGCGAAGGAAGGTTCACGACCAGGTGGTGTACACGTGACCTGTCTTGACGCGATCTCGTTCTGGGTTGAGGTATAGCAGGATATCGTGCCTTTTCTTCGATGCCTAATTTAGAAAGGATTGCTCTTTGGGCTGCAAGAGCCATGTTTGGGACTCATTCGTAGCTCTGAAAGCCGAGTCGACCTGCCGGAACCTGAAATGGGGCGGCTACTTAGAGTAAATAAAGTAGAGCTTTGATCCTTGCCAGAGGCGGTTGTGACAATCCGCTTGAGGATGTTCCCATGGCGTAAGAGAGAGGGAGAGCCCTACAGACGGACAGACAAACAGACAAAATCCATGCTTCACCGGCATACATATACATGCACACGCATAGGCGCGAACCTGTTTGTTCACATAGGTGTGCGTGCGTGCGCGCATGTACATGTGTATGTGTGTGTGTGTGTGTGTTTGTATACGTACATATGCAACCGAGGCGTAGTCATGACCTTTTTTCTCTTGCTGCAAGTTGCACTTAGACTGCAGATCGAGGGACCCGTGACCCTATTGTATGTAACACGAATATCGCCGAACGGGATTCGTCCCTTCCTTATCTTCTCTGTCGTTTGCGGCCTTAAGTCGTCAAAGAACCCGCCGCCTGTACCAGGTTAGGTCCACAATCTCACTATCCGACGCGGCTGCTTATTCCGCTTGTATGGCCCCTCGCCTGGATTCTTCCGCTTCCGGCCTTCAGGGCTGGCGTGGAAGAAGTACGGTGGGTGTCGAAGCTTCTGTGTGCTTAGATCGCATTCCACACGAAAGGTACCCGTCATCTGAGTCGCAACCTCTGCAGAATTGCTGTTTGTTTGGGGCTTCTCCTGCAGGCCTGCTAGTCGTCAAGGTCAAGGCTCACCAGGGCAATCATCATCGTCAGCACCACCATCGACAATCACCAAGTCATGATCATCATCATCGTCATCATACTCGTGCTTGAGTGTTGTAGCCATCATCAGCGTCCTCCTCACAGCTTGCGACGGAGAGCTCGACCGGGACCACCGAGTTTTTCTGTCGTTGCAAGAGCTTAAGTGTCAACGCACCGTCCGCCTCGGCGGCCTCGGCCCGCAGATCCGAGGTGGAGGGCCGAGGGGAACAATCAACCTTTGAACGCCCTGCCGATGAGAGTCAAGCTCCGTCCTTCCACCCTGAACACCTCCTGCCCCAGGTCGAACGAACGAGATCTTCCCAGATTTGGAAGTGTAATCGCAGCTTCAATTGCCAGTAGTCGCTGTTTACAAGCCCTACACCCTGCACAGCACCATTGTAGTAGAATACGAGCTCCCGTAACTCATTTTACCCCTTTCCAATACTTATCGTGCCGGCCCCTGGAAAAAGACTTGTCCGACCGACCGAGCTAGTTCAAGGCTTGGCTTAGCACTGGAAACCCGCAGAGCTGCAGGATAGACATGTTGAACGAGATGGACTACCTTGCAGCCGGCTACTACAAGACAAACACAGACTTCAAGATGACGACCTGGGCAGGCGTGGCACAAAAAAGAGTTGACCCTCCTGAGTAGCTGCAGTTCTCACCAGACTTTACATTCAACATGTGATCCCAAACCCTAAACTCGAATCCATACAGGATACTGCCTTGCCCAAGATCGCAGAAGTCAAGAAGCCTTGTTTTGATCGGCGCGGCTTGCATCGAAAAGGGAACGCTGCCAGTTCTCGTTATATTCACTGTTGTTTTCTTCATAGAGATTCCTGGTGTTGTCGTCGATGTACTGAGCAGCAGAGGAAGCAGCAGCAGCAGATGTTGCTATTGTTGTCGCAGTACTAGTTATAGAAGTAGAAGTACTGGTACTAGCACTAGTACTAGTACTGGTAGTAGTACTAGTAGAAGTACTAGCAGTAGTAGTAGTAGTAGTAGTAGTAGTAGTCGCAGTAGTAGCAGTAGTAGCAGTAGTAGTAGTAGTAGTAGTAGTAGTAGTAGTAGGCACCCCCCACCCCTACCAACTACACTTGCTCTCAACCATGTTAAGACAACATCCATTTCACTCGGTATTTACGGCACTTTCGTCATGTGCGATCATCCTAAGAGGCCTAAAAATCGACTTGTCGAGTTTGCAAACTCGGGCTCTTGATTTTGGACTTGCTTCTGGGGGTGGGTGGGGGGGTGGGGGGGGGATGATGACGACAGTGTTACGCGAACACACCCAGCAGTATCACCACAAGAGCCGTTTAACTCGGTATTTACGGTACTTTCGTGATGTCAGACTTTGTTACAAATTCTGAGCCCCTACTTCTCCGACTATGCGTATTAAACTTTGCTGTTTGGAACTGTTTGCAAAAAAACTCGAAATTGGATGGGGGAAAGCTTCTTCGGGGATGATCACGACACTGTTTTGCGGACACCCTGAACAATATTTCCACACTCAAGCGTGCATACACCACACACACCACTTCAAAAACAGACCCTCCTACGCAGAGGTTGGGCGGTAGGGGTGTTGGCGAGCCCCTCCAACGTACAGCTGGCATCTTTGTTTTTGATGTTTAGAAGATGTTGCGCTTCAGGTTCTGAAAATGTTAAACCCTTCTTGGACGCACCTGGGTTTTGCACGGTATTTACAGCGTTTTCGTACTATCCGACCACCTGCAGTTCAGCTGTTTCTTCCCCGTCGAGCTTGCAACTCCGGCTGCTGTCGCAGTTTTGGGGCTTGAGCCCTTGCAATTTCACCGGTTGTGACAGTTAAGGAAACGGAGCCCCTGCAACTTTTGCAGCTGTCGCAGATAGGGAGCTTGAGCCCGTGCATCTTCTGCAACTGTCGCAGTTAAGGCCCCTAGCAGCTGCCGCTGCCCAGCCCGGATGGAACAAGTGTAGTTGGTAGGGGGGGGTGGCTAGTAGTAGTAGTAGTAGTAGTGGTAGTGGTAGTGGTAGTGATAGAAGTAGTAGTAGTAGTAGTAGTAGTAGTAGTAGTAGTAGCAAGAGTAGCAAGAGTAGTAAGAGTAGTAAGAGTAGTGAGAGTAGTAAGAGTAGTAAGAGTAGTAAGAGTAGTAAGAGTAGTAAGAGTAGTAAGAGTAGTAAGAGTAGTAAGAGTAGTAAGAGTAGCAAGAGTAGTAGTAGTAGTAGTAGTAGTAGTAGTAGTAGTAATAGTAGTAGTAGTAGTACTCACTCACTCACTCACCACACTGCAAGGTCCAGTCTCGCTTGCGTACATGTTACACTACCCACTTTGGGGGAGCGGCTCCTTAAAGGAGCACATGCCCTATCCGTAGATACTGTGGCATGGATGATTCGCGCCGCCCCGGAGGGCCACAAGTAGCAGGAGAAAGAAAGGCGCAGTTGCAGTTGCGGATTGGCTCTTTTGTGCCTCCTGGGAGCCAACCTGGTGCGGTCAGATGCGAAGACCCTCACATTGTGTACCCCTACAAGTAGTAGTAGTAGTAGTAGTAGTAGTAGTAGTAGTAGTAGTAGTAGGAGTAGGAGTAGGAGTAGGAGTAGTAGCAGTAGTAGTAATAGTGGTAGAAGTGGTAGCAGAAGCAGCAGTAGTAGTTGTTGTTGTAGTAATAGTAACATTTTATCGTTAATGCAATTAGTAGTCATCGCAATAGTCATCGTCGTCATAGTAGTGGTAGTAGTCGTCGTCGTCATGGTAGTAGAAGCGTAGTACTGGTAGTAGTCGCCGCCGCCGTGGTAGTAGAAGCAGTGTAGTATTCGACATCGTCGTCGACAGGTAGTAGCAGTAGCAGTAGCAGCAGTGGTAGTAGTAGTAGTAGTAGTAGCAGTAGTCAGTCGTCGTCGTCGTAGTCGTGGTTCCAGTAGTAGTAGGAGTAGTAGTAGTAGGAGTAGCAGTAAGAGAGCAGTAGGAGTGGCAGTAGCAGCAGCAGTGGCAGTAAGAGTAGCAGGAGCAGTCGGAGTAGCAGTAGCAGCAGCTGTGGTGGTAGTCGTAGTGTAGTTGTTGGCAATGAAAGCATGCAAACACCAGATGCTGTTCACGTCATTCTGTACGATGTTTCACGTGGCCTCTTCCACTGTTGGAGTGGTTTGATCTCTGTTGCCTACTCATGAACGAATGTCTTCGTGTGTGCGCCAGCCATTCACTGAAGCAGCCCTACAGGAGCAAAGCCTTGCAAACCTAATTCAAACGCAGCCTAACACCTTCAACGACCAGAACGCCCTCAACGCCGGCATAGTACTACTCGCTGCGCTGCTTGCAAAGCAACTCACATACTCCGACCCTGTTGCAATCAATGAGTGCGGCTGCAGAAAGTCGTAAAAAGTCAAATCGAAATAACGAGTTAAGAATGCAGCGAGAAGAGCGTAAATACCGAGGCTGTCCTATTTTTCATTTCACAGCCAGGGGTTTTCGATGCCGAAGAGTTCGGTCGATGAAACAAACACGAAATCGCACGAGCGCAAGACGGCGCAAACGGTCAGGGTTTCCGATTACATTGACCATGAAAACACCGGTAGGTACCCATGTGCACGAAGTATTGCGTCGCAGCGTAGGTGCAGCAGTAGCAGTAGCAGTGCTAGTTGCAACATTGGCGGCAGCACCTGCTTTTGATGGTACTGCCGCTCCACTCCTCCTACTACTATACCACTGTATTACTAGTAGTGCTACTAGTACTACTGCGGCTACGAATACTACGACTACTACGACTACTACTACTTCCACTACTTCTACGACGACGACTACTACCACTACTACTACTACTACTACTACTACTACTACTACTACTACCACCAATACTACGAGAACTATCAATGCCACAAGTGGCACTGCTACCGCCAAGTCTATTCTTGCGCTACGTTCCTTCGGATCTGTGGCCACGACAGTTCAGGCAGGTGACCTAACCACACCTCAGCGCCCTCGTGAGCCCTTTGAAGCACCAACCCTTTCCATGACGAGGCTGGTCCGGATTCATGCTGACTTTGATTCCTTTGAGTCGCTTGGCTTCTCTTCATGGTCTTTAGGACTCTAGGGTCACTTGCAATGTTTGGAATGATTGGCAGCAGCGACACGAAACACAAGAGCCACCCAGGACGACAGTTCTGCATGCATCGAGAATGAAGACAGTCGCTGCCATGATCCGAATCACGATGGCAGCAGCAACTGCGAAATTGAGCGCGGCAACTGTGACGACGACGAAACTTCCGGTGACAAACAACACGGCTTGTCATCGATGCCATGACATTTAACAGGCTTGGGGGCAAGTCACGGGCCCTTGATGCCCAAGGCTCATAGTGGGGAGAGAGGCCACGAATTGTTGATTGAAAGGCTTAGGGAGCAAGCTGCTGGACACTGGGATTCTTTTATCTAAGGGAAATCCAAAGCTCTTGCAAATGCCGCCGCAACCCCAAACCGACGGTAACGTACGACCACAAAGCGACTAGATGTTCCGTTTTGACGGCAGCTGTCAACTCGAACTCAAACCAAAGGATTCCAAAAGTGGGATGAAGGTGAGGGAATCGCAAGCAAGTTTTTAGAAGGGATCCCATCCTACCTGCCTTCATCGCACCTTTTCAGATCCTCGATCAACGCATCCTCTGGCGCATATCGCATGGATGACAGGAAGTACCGAAAGTTGAGCAGCCGATAGTCTTCAGCATGAAAACTCCACCCGTGCTGCCCAAACACACGGCCCCAATCAAAGCTTCAGAACCATCTCCGAGGCTACCGCCTCTGTCGACTCTTCGCTAGGCCTGTGCGCCGTTTCAGGGAGGTCACACTTCGGTTTTCACTGATAGCTGCTGACTGGGATTCTACATCATCTGCAGCACATTGGCACGATCTCTGGGCATTACCCGAGCCGCGTCTCACAGGCTTTTGTAGGAGCTTAGGTTGTGACTTTCAAAGGTTTAGACGGGATGAGCCAAAGAGGCCTTCTGTTTCTTCCGAGCTCCGAGCTTCTCTCGGAGTCCGGCTTTTCGCTTCAAGCCGTCCGGCAAATCCCCAAGCAGCGCGAGTGCAGCAGAGCCAAATTTGAGAGCTTGCTGTCCCCCTCCCCCCACTTTGAGGTTGAGAGTCATTTTGCACACAGAACCTTCATGCCTTATGCGAGTTGCTAAACCGAATCTTCCTTCTCCCTCCTCCCGAAGTTCCCTCCGAAATCGTCGAAGGGACACTTGGCATCAGCCGCAGCCAAGCTCTGTCCCCAAACCTCCGCATCTTTTCTGAAAAACAAAAGGCCTGAGACAGAGCGCAGTGCCCAGCGAGGAAGCGCAGCACCAGAGCTGCGGATTTTTTCCTCAACGCTTCGCTCACGATGGTTGTCACACGGCCCGAGCAAGCTTTCAGGAAGTTTGGTGCTTTTGCACCCGATCTCTTAAAGATACTTCGGAGAGTTCTCCACCTCCCATCACCACCACCACCACCACCACCATGGAGCGCTGGGTTTGGGGTGCTAGACAGCTGCTTCCTCATCAAATACATGCCAGTCCTTGAATTTTGGACCTTCACTGCTTGTTCTTGCCATGCCCTTGACGTCTGAGGTAGCTCTGTACGGAGTCGTCTCGCACCTCGGCTTGCACGAGACAACCATAGCCGGGCCATAGCCCGTGCAGCCTGGGCAATTTTTGAAGGCTTGGGGAGTGTCCTGGGCTTGGGAGCTCCTATTTAGAAGCCTAGGGCTTGTTGAGGGGCACCCCACACCAACCCCAAAAGCCGGCGCTGTAAGATCGGGCTCCTCTAAAACAGCCGTCGAACATCCTCCGGGAGGCCTGATGGCATGCAGCTTCCAAGCTTGGACAGGAAGTCTGATGAAGCTCCGAGAATTCAACTGTCGATATCGACAGATCCGAGGTATTTCACACTCCGATGGATCCTCTTCTACAAAGCCATTCCGCTATGGGCTGGCATCTCGTACGCCACCAGCAGCCCGGCAGAGCTTCCATTCTCCGGGGCTTTAAACCCCAAAAGCCCGTTCGGATGGCACAGGCTATTTATTTGGCTTGGATGTTGTGCCCTGCCAGTATCAGCTACGGTCAACATTAGGGATATTATTGCGCATTAGGGTCCCGATTAGGAAGCCATGTCCTTTGGCATTTATTATTGAGGCAGTCGTCATTAGTTTATATGACTGTTCCCGATTAAACCGCAAGTGTTGCATCGTAGCCAGTTTGGGGCAGATTGGCGTCCCCTGCAGAGCGAGACCACTATGACGGTGGTGGTGCTTGTGCCGGTGCTGGCCAGTCCTGCTGCTGCTGCTGCTTGTGCTGGTGCTGATGGTTCTGGATGCTCGTAGTGCTGGGGGTGGTCGTGGTCGTGGTGGTGGCGGTGGAGGTGGCGGAGGAGGTGAAAATCGCCACCACCGCCACAACCACCACAACTCTTCCTACTCCTACTCCCACTCCTACGCCTACTAGTACTACTACTACTACTACTACTACTACTACTACTACTACTACTACTACTACTACTACTACTACTACTACTACTACTGCTACTGCTACTGCTACTGCTACTGCTACTACTACTACTACTACTACTGCTACTACTACTACTACTACTACTACTACTACTACTACTACTACTACTACTACTACTACTACTACTGCTTCTCTGCTACCTGTATCCCCACCACCACTCCTGCGAACTACCTCTCTTGACGCTACCAGTTGCCGCCAATACAATACAGCCCAGTGATACTGCCGTTGCGATGGCCACTGCAACTGCTGTTATGGCCGGTACTCCGTCAGTTTGAAGGCTTGAGGTTGCATTCGACAACATGTGTTGGCTTCTGAGCAACCGAGGTCTGTGGGCACTGTTCCTGTGGCTTCAGAGGGCCTCCTTTGGATGCATATGCTGGGCGCAGAAGGCGAATGTGGAGAGATCCGGCAGATCCTGAACTTGGGCCTAAGGCCCCATGATTCCCTCTTGTAAACCAGAGCTCCGCATCTCAATATTAGTAGTACAGCAATAAACTGGTGAAATTGGTTGTTGTGGAATGATTTTTGCTAGGCGCTTGCTCCTGCCTAGTATGACTATGCTGCTGCTGCTGCTGCTACTGCTACTACTCCTGCTGCTGCTGATGCTACTACTACTACTACTACTACTACTACTACCACCTGCCCCAGCGACAGCGGTGACGAGGACGGCTGCTACGGCCCAGAACCCTATCAGAATGCAGTAGGCATCCCCCTGTCAAGATTCTAGCTACGACTGCGACTGTTGTCACGGACGTTAGTCGTTGCCACGATCACTTCTGAAAACCCAGACATTCTGTCGCCAGTTACTGATGATGGTAGCTGCGAGTTGAGGTGACACTTGCTGCAATCCTTTGTTGTTCTGTACTACCAGTGTTACTAGCTATGCTGCTATGTCGAGCATCCTTGGTGTAGGTGCTTGCATGTTCTATTGCATCCAGCATCATTGGTCTGGTGTCCAAGTGAAGTCCTGGTGCTCTTGTTGCTCATTTCGCTTTGCGAGCAAGCCTGCAGTTCCGACTACCCTAACAGCTCCTGATCTTATGACTGCAATTTTCCATTGACGCTATGCCTACTGCTGTTGGGACCTGGTCATTGCAAGAGAGCTTCGATATCGGTCGCTCGCGGCCTTTTCACGTGAGCGGGTTTTCCCGGACCGGACCGATTATACCATAACTCCCGTTGCTCAGGTAACGTAAATTCACGCATGTTTATGTGCATTAGTCGTTCTGATGGTTGCAGGCCGGGTTTGGGTCCTAACGTTACAAATATGGCACATTAGTAGGTTTTGGCTATAGCCTGATAAACAAAAGGCGTAAGATGTAGGGCTTCAGACCTTAAAACGGGTTTTACGAGCTTTCGGTTTTGGTGTTTGGTCCCAAACTAACAAGCAAAGCCCTCTCTCTTCGTGGACTCGGCGGCATCTCGAAAACCTCGCTTCAAGTAGGTGGAGGAGTGATCCCCTAAGTTGGTCCCCAATGCACACTCATAGCACCCACCGTGCGCAGTTCGCTGCCACAGATGTTCAGCCAGCTGTCAGCTTGCTCGATGCGAGTTGTGCTCTGTGGCAGTTCTCCGATCAGGTACCTTCTTTTGTGAGATCGCCTGAAACCAAGCCATCCGACACACAGCATTCTGAAGTGACGTTCCAGAGCTAGCAGCCGAACACAGTGTGTATTGGACCCAGCGGAATAAGCAACCTCCAAGAGCGTCGAAGGACCTTTTGACTGGGGCGGCATGGTCCTTCTGTATCTTCGAACTTCACATAGGAAACTGGGCAAGTAGCCTAAAGAGGCTGTCATTGCAAATGATTTCTCAATTATTACTCCTCCACTTTTTCGTCTCACGGTCGGGCGCCGCTAAGATGCGCACTTGCGCCCTGTTGGGAGCACGAGTCCTTCCGAAAGAGGGACGGCGAAGAGCACCTTTCACAGAAGCAGAGACTTGGAGGGAACTGGGAGGTGAGGCATACCCCAAACTTTAATAAAACGCGAACCTTAACTCTAAACATCTCTTGACCATGTAGTCGGGGAGTATGACTAACTTAACAAAAATGTTGTCTCTTGCAGAAGTGCCTGGTCGTTCGTCTCCTGGTCCTTTGGCCTCCTGGTCGACTGGTGACTTCGTCCGCTGGCCCTGGTCCACTGATCTGTTGATCCTGTGGTCCTCTGGTCGTGTTGAGCACTTCTATGTTTGATGTACATTGACATGCATGTCCCTGCTGCAAAAGGACCATTAGTCCCGTCACAGCTCACCCCCAAACTGCGGTTCTTACACCCCAAAGGAGCAACAAATACTAGCAAGGACAAACAGTGAAACAAGTATAGTGGTTTCCAATTAATTCCCTAGCTGCTGAATAGCACTTAGATCCAATTCAGGGCAGGGTCTTCCAAATGATTTTGCTCGGTACGCTCGCTTTGGACTTCTCTTTGCAGCCTCTCTCTGTTGGGCAACGCCCCCGACCATCCCAGCACCCAAAACTTGTGCCGTGCTCGTGCGAGCGAAGAGGAAAGACAGTGTGGAAAGGGTCGAGCCGACGCCAGCACCGGCGCTTTTGTTAGGCTTGTCCCCCCCAGTCGTCCGAGAGTCGCACTTTAGACCTAGCTTGCATGAGGTAACTGTTCTGACGTGTTAGGCTGTTGCACAAGCATCATGCATCATGAATGTTGAATTAGCCGGGTCGTCGCAGTTATGGTTATTGCAGGTCACTACAGTCATGGTCATCAACATCATCTTCAGCGCCACATCATTTGCATCATGATCAAAAATTCATAGGCGTCGTCATAGCACGTTCATGATGGTGGTGATGTTTGTCAGTAGTGCCATGGCGACCCGCCCTTAATCCTGAAGCCCTGAAGACTAAAGCCCTCTCTAAGACTTGTAAAATCTGTTTGGACCTTCTCTGCGGCATTTGGCCAGGTGGGTCCTGGACGAGGTCCCGACCCGCCCGTTGGCCTGGGCCCTGTTCCAGCAAATGGCTTGTCTTTGCAGTAGCAGTTTGGGGTTTCAGAGAAGAATTGAAGAGGCTCCAAGGGTCTGAAGGTGTAAGGTCCAAGAATTTGAGCTACCGGTGCTAAAGGTTTGGCTTGCAAAGGTTCAGCAAGCAAAGGTGATTGGTGTAAGACAGTTAGAGGAGCTCAGTCAACGTATCTAGGCCCGCTTCTAGATTCTATGTGGCCGGCCGCTGAGGAGATTTCTTTCGCGCTTCTTAGCAAATTCTCTCGATATTTGGCTTCCCCAGGTCCCAACACGACTACGACTACGACTACACAGAGGAACGGAAGGGCGAGAGTGGTCAAAGCAAGAATTCCTGTACATCTGATTTGGGGTAGATTGGGGTCCCGCTTTCGCGGAGATTTACGGCCAGCCCTGCTCGACAGCGCCACGACAACATTGCGACAGGGCCAGAGGCTCTTGCAAATGTGAACGTGTGCTGTATCTGTGCGTGAGCTGTCTTGCATTAACTATGTTGATGGCGTTGCCGTGTGACGAGCTTTAGGAAGGGGCATGACAGGGGATTTCGTTCCTGTAGTGTTGCTTCGGGCTCGGCATCACCGGCTGCCACATCTGCCGCGAGTGTCTGGCGGCCAGCTTTACATGCTCTGACTGTTGGCCATTCCGTGCCCCAACCCTTCTTTCAAGTCTGAGCTGTCCAGAGTCTCGTCGTTTTGCTTTTCTGCCTGCATCATGCGGCCAAGCCCCCGCACGGTTGCTTCCGGGCATGGCGCCGAAGTCCTTGTTGCTTTCGCAGCAGCCTCGGGCAGTGGTGGAGCATACAACAGTGAACAAGAAAGTCTTTGGTTGCGTCAAGAGCATGGTACCAATGGAAGAAGACATGAAGCGCATTGCCAAGGTAAAAGGTCAGTGTGGAGAGGCCTGATCATGTGGGAACCAGTTTCTGGAGTCCTTCGCAGCATGACTGGACAGCTTCATCAAGACGTTGGCAGGGATGGATGGCGGTACGGCGGTACGATGTTTCGCGGATGACGGTGGCGTTGCCAAGCACATGGTGCAAAAAGGAAGTTCAGCCGCTCCGCGGTCACTGCCAAGGAGGTGCAGACAGAGACCGCAGATCCTGAAAGACGCAGATGTCGACCTCAAGGCCACGACTCTTTCGGGTATTGATAGCATCCGAGAGTTCACCGGCATGACACCCAAGTCTTTCGACAAGGTCCTGGAATTTGAGAGGCGACGAAATCCCACGCAAAATTGTGGATGCCATTGCAAGAGAATTGTTTTGACTGGAAGCTGACGGATGGCAAGTTGGAGTGTCTGTATCTGATGCAGATCCTGACTTTCCAGAAGGATGCTTCCATCGATATTTTGATGGCAAATTCTGAGATCAAGGTGGACCGCGCCCACACCGTCAATTGGGACTGAGTCTCCAGATTGGAAATTGGAGCCCTGGCATTGTCCATCTCGCAGATGTCGGCATGTCAGAACTGCGTGGAGATGAGCGTAGAGAATCTTTGGAAGAAGAAAGCAGCTGCTACTTGTCGGGCTTGAAGAAGACGACGATGCATGAAATGAGCGCTGCGGCCAGAATCCGTGCAGCTCGCCGTTGCGTAAGTCCGAAGTAGCATTGGGATGGCACAGTATAGGTCCCAAACACTACAAATGCATGTCGTATCGAATTGCGAGCTCACTGCGCGCCGAGAGTGGCGACAAAGATGGGTCACCCTGCTATGTTCCAACCTGTCCACATGTCTTGCTCCGCGTCGCCTCTAGCCAGTTTCTTGCATGCACCTGCAGCATATCCATTATCTGAGCCGGCTGCGACCAGAGGCCAAACAGCACAAGACCTTCCTCTTACCAGGATGCAGAGTCAGAGTCTTCAACTGTATACCACCGAACTATACCGAACTTAGACCTCAAGGCCGGAACGCCTCCATCCCGGACCTTTCAATCTTCGAATTACTCTCCACGAGTGCTGAGTCGAGAATGTTCCGTAAGACCACTAAGTCCATGACACTCGTCTACCACGCCTTTGCATGCCTTTGCCCTGCAGGAGTCTTGGAACAGCCACTCCAGGCACGCTTGAGCTTCGGATTCCGACACTTTAACTTTAGAAGGGAGGTCAAGGCTTGCATTGAGACGCAATGCGGTGCTGCAGGTTGTTTCCGTAAGTGAGCAAAGATTCTCGCGGAGCGTCTTTCCGTCCTTCCGTGCTCTTCGAAGGCCAGGCCGAGGCAGAGCTACAGCGCAATATCGTCAAATCATCCAGTACGACACCGTACCGTGGTATATTATTCGATATTCTGGTAGTTTTATGCCTAGTTCTATTGCAATGAATCATATGACTCTGCATATAAGGGGGGAACATGCCCTGATGCCCGACGCATTCTACGGCTACTGACCTATGTGGACAGATGGGGCACAACTTCCTCATCGAGTCGCCGTCGGGCGCCCCAAGATGAGCTCAGGGCGATGGTCCGATGGTTCCTGGATTCCTGCCTGGCTGATCTAGCGTAGAGGGTGATGATCTTGTTTCCGTATGATTTGCTAAACTTCATGCACAGCTGTGTATTCGGACAATGACGAAATCATTCGAGAAGGCCATCATTTTCCGGGATGCTGTTTTGCACTTCGGCATCTGCTGTAGACATCCCAATCTTTGCTAACACCTTCTTACCTGCCACCTTTGCAGCCCGCAGGGTCAAGATACATCTTGAGCAATGCAGCGAACCGCTCCGCCTTCAAAAAATGCCTTCAATGGAAGCAGACTTTGGTCGTCGCCGCCGTCCGATCCCGATGATGCAGATGATGCAGATGTCAGACAGGACACTTAATGTGTGCATCACCAGCCTGTGCCCGAAGGGTCCCAAGTCTTGCGCTCGGAAGCTTCTGCAATTACCCGGCAAGACTGTCAGCATCAACACAATGGCAACGACGACGACCCCAACGACATCCACAACAGCAGCAGCAAGCAGCAGCAATGATAGTAAGGGCGAAGATGATGATGCTAGATGCAAAAGCATGAAAGAAAGGGAGAGCAGGAGGACAGGAGATCAAGCGCCGCTCCAAGGCCAAGCAGAGGCCGAATCTTCTCATCGAGGAGACTGGGAGCCGACACTGACTTTCGACTTTCGAGCGAGGGTGCTTTCGGCCTTCTGTTCGCTGATAGATGGGTCGGCACGTGTAAAGCTTGCGGTGTCTCGAAGCAGTTGTTCGAGAGTGACGCAAGGGCTTTGGATTAAGAGCGTTCCAGGTTGCAGACCGCAGTCAGACGCATGTATGGCCTTTCGGCTGGGCCAGCCGATCACGACCAGTGCGAATCCTCACACGACAATAGGCAAGAGAAGTGCGTTTGTGCCGCAACCAGGAAGCCACTATCGTGGCAAAGGCCCGCCAGAGGGGCATTGTCTTCATTTGTCTCAGTTTTGGGGTGCCGATTTCTCGGTCGTGGGTCGAAGCCCGCCCAAGATTTGCCAGAATACCGGTAGCACACCCGCAGTTCTTCTTGCAATCGTCAAAGCAGCGTTGCTGATGCAGGTTGCTTGGCCCTTGTACGAAGTTTGTTGAGCTTCCTAGTGAGCTAGTGCTTCTGCCGGTCTTGCCTGTAAGTACTTCGTTAGGTAGGTTGCTCGATGTTGTTTGTTCTGCTTGTTTTTTGCAACCGGCTGCATTGTCGGCTTGTCATTCTTGATTCTCGAGTATGGCTTCGAACCTGAGCAATGACCGCTTAAAGATGGAGACTGGGGGTTTGATGGCTGCAACTTCAGTCGAGGTTGGATTTCGCTGTCTGTCTTCCGTTTTCGCCTCCTGGTCTCCTGGTCTGAGCCGTTGCCTGCAGCAGCTTTGACAGGACAACATGTCTTGAGGCTGCCAGTGCTGTTCCTTCTACCAGCTTCGGATTTCGAAACCTGGCTTATGTTAAGGCGGAAGGCTTAAAGCCTAGATTTGCAGTGTTTGTCTGTTTGTTTGTCCGTGTGGCTGTGTTTGTGGCTTGTTTGGGAGCCCAAAGGCGTAGAGATTTTCACGAACACCGGCCAAGGTCTTTCGAAAGCCGGGGCCAAGCAGCACTATTTCCTGGTCAGGGAAAATGAGAGATCCTTGCTATTTCAGCAATATGCTCAGAAGGAGTTCGGAGATTCTCGGCACTCACCTTGATAAGCTTTCGCTGAAGCACTGGAGAACCGTTCTGTGGCGGCAGGCAGCGGAAAAGGGGCTCGGCCCTGAGTGAATACCGAGCGGCATGTGGTATCGGAGTTTAAAGTACGCGGGAAAGCAAGAAGAAGAGAGGGTGTTTGTAACACTAAAGCATGGAGGTAGAAACGGAAAGATCAGAAAAGTTCAGCTATAAGGAGAAGGATGAGACCACAGAAAGCACATGTGGGCGTGTGCATGGGTCTTTGTGCGTTTGTGTCGGCCTGTGATGGCCCCTCAGGTCCATGCCACGTGTGGGTAAAGTCAACGAAGCTCACTCTCGTGCCCCTTAGATGCTCCTGCAGGAAGATAAACGCATAGGACCGGTCATCCCACAGGTTGGTGCGCAGAACCCTTCGATCCTTGGACATCGCAGATTCAATCTGTCCTTGCTCCCATATCTGGGTCATTGGACGTGCTCGGGCCTTTAGCCTGCGCACCATACGGAGCACATGTGAATCAATCTGTGTCCCCAGTGACGATTCCTCCGCATCTGCAGTCTCAACATCTAGGCTTTGCATAGTATGCGCAGGAGGATGAACTTCTACCCTACGCCTCTTTCACTGCGGACTCCAAAATTGAAGAATGAAGTTAAAGCAGCCGCAAGCGCTCCCAGGCGTCTGCTTCCTCACACGAAGCGAACGACGGATGGAGCCGGGTCCGTCGGACTCGTCTGTTCTCGCTATCGATGCGACCTCTTGGGATTGACTGTTGTGGCAGTTCAAGAGGCCTGGCAAGTATAGGAGGCTGAGGTGCTGTTGCTTGAGGAGGCAGACTAAGCATGCATGACTGCAGATGTCGATAGGCAAAACAAGCACACATCTGCGCACGGCAGTTACTTCGAGACAAAGGCGAAACCGTCACAAGAAGACAACAGCACTCTGAGCCAGGGTGGTACCTGACATGACGCTGCGAGACACATCCAAGGAGTCGAAGCCTCCATCTTCCCAAGTTGACCTTTGCTTTGGTTTTCGGTGACCACTCGTGTGCCACGACATCCCTCGCAATCCTTGTTGGCGTGCACAACCTGTGGTGGCTCATGCCTCATACCGCCATGTGTCTGTGTGTGTGTGTATATGTCCATCTCTTCGCTGCCTGTCCGTCTGCCTGTATCTGGAGTCTGGAATGTTTGAAACGTCTGGAATGTCTGAAAAGCTTGGAAAGTCTAGAACATCTGAAACATCTGTGATGTCTTGAATGTATAGAGCGTCTGGAAAATATATCCAAAATGACCTAGCATAATAAATGTCTAAAGTAACGTATATTGTTGAACGAAAGCGTGGTGGATCACAGGAGGCCCTGTTGCCATATATATATATATATATATATATATATATACATACATACATATATATATATACATATACATATACATGCACGCATATATATATACATATATATATATATATAATGTATGTGTGTATACATATGAACAGCATATTGCTGTCCTGAGCGGGCCTAAAGCAGTACTGATTTCCTGTAGCTGGAGTGCTGCAGGATGAGGGGCCGCGCAGCTGTGTGACTGTAATCTTCTGCTGCCAAAACCTCTCAAGTCATCAACCGGAAGCATTGTGGGTGTGAAGCCATGCTTCCTGCTTCTTTGGCGGGACGCGGGTCTTCTTCTTCGTGCTGTCAGATTGTTGGGGAGTTCCAGGCTTTTCCGCCTCAGCAATTCTGCGTGAATCACCTGCAGCCGGCGAGAAAGCAGCATGTCTCAGGCTCAAAGTTGAGGCGGGATTTTGCTCGTTGCTGGGCACAGCAGCGGCGATCTGCAACTGCAAAAGCGAAGCCTAGCTTTGTGGACGGCCTAGACGAAGCTATCACTGCCGTTCTGAGCGTGTGTGACACCAGTTTCGCACAGTACTATGGGGATTGGAAAGCTAGCGGTGGTGCGTCCGTTTCTTCCAGCGTGCGAAGGCAACGGGACCTTTTTCCATTGCCAGCTTTGCAATCGTGGCCTCTGGACGACACCGAATGTCCTGTTGAGACAGCCCTTGCAATGGCAAACTTGTGCTTAGCTAGCCTCAATGTGCTGGCTTCGGACATGGATCCCGGTAAGACCGGAAATGGTCGGAGTAAGCCGACTTTGGCTCAACAGGCTGTGCACGAACATGTTTGCAGCCGCTGTCAGTTCTTTCTTGGACGGCTTCGTGATAGTGGCGACGAGAGCTTTGCTTGGCGAGGTAGCTTCCGTTTTTTCGAGGAGAAGCCTCATGCGAAGTATCCAGCTATGAAAGCCGAGGCCGTAGACTTGCCCTCCACTGCTGCCACGTGTGACGCTGTCAAGTTGCTGCCCTCTGACCTGGCTGACAAGATCATGGACCCGAAGCAGTTATTCCCTGCCGGTTCTCAGACTGAAAGCTGGCCCCATGGGTGCTACGGGGGGAGATCGTGATCAGTACATCAGGCTTGTTTTTCGGCAGCTGGAGTGTGGAAAAACTGTGCTTCGTCAGCATTGCCTTGCCGTGGGAGACGTTTTCTGCGTCCCTAAGTCAAGCCCGGGCAAGCAAAGGGAGGTGTGGAATGGATCACTGGTGTCGCAAGCTGCCGTTCGGCCCCCGCAGCCTTTCAAGCTTGCCAATCCCGGTTGCTTCGTCGACCTTTGCTTCGCAGAGTGGGAAGAAATCTTCATGTCCAAGCGCGATGTGCACACTTGCTTTGATGTGTTGAAAGCCCCAGAGCACCTGCAGCCTTGGTTTGGCAGGCCTCCTGTGACTTTGCATGAATTGAGCCGTGTGTGCAAAGCGTCGTGGAGCACTTTGACTAGGTATGTGGCCGATGCCGATGATGTTAAAGGTTTGACCCCGTTCGTTCCTTTGTATCCGACGAGTACGGTGTGGCCGATGGGATTCAGCTGGAGCTCTTGCGTTGCACAAGCCTGCACTGTCAGCTGCTGTCTTAGAGCAGGCGTCCAAGAACAAGACTTCATCTCGCTGGACTCTCCTCCTCCAAGCGGCCCAGAAATCTGCGGGGTGGCGACCGATGACACCTTCTTCTTTCACAAGGACAAGCTGGTGGGCGAGAGAAGGCTTCATCAGCTCGATGCTGTTTTCGACCTGTCTGGCATGCCCAAGAATGCTGCGAAAGATGTTACCCTTCAACAGTCGATGACGGCGTTAGGCTGCCAACTTACTTCGAAGCCACCTGCTGCCGAGCCTTCCGCGCCCAAGTTGGCTTCGCTGTTCATGGCGCTGCTGGACGTGTTTTGCGTTGGACAAGCGTCACCTGCAGGTTTGAACCGCCTGCTTGGCCTGGAGCAATGGTTTTGTTT